TTGATCACTGCTTGTCACATTAAGGGGCAAACTAAACTTGCACTTACATGTATGCACCTGCTTGAATGCTCCATGCTGGTATGTTTTAATGACTAATAAAGGAGAACCTTGAAATGTTTTCATCTTAATACTAGTCATATCAAAACCAAGCTTATATTTATGCATGAATGGGTGCTTGGTCTTATGCAGGTTTTGGATCCTGTATGTACGTACATCAATGGATACCAAGTGTGATGCTTGAATTCATCTTACCTAAATTTTATGATTTAATGACCTATAAAAAGGTTTTTTTTAATTGTTCATAGCTAGATTATACCAACCAGACTTGTATAGATGCATTTTAGGAGGATTAGCTTAGTGCAGCTAGTTCAAAGGTGAACTAGAAAGGGCATGAACACCATAAGAATAGCATAAAGCTGCATTGTGTTGATTTATGATTGCTGTCCAAATTGTAAATATATTAGGATGTTGTTTAATTTAATAAATCTTGTATGTATTTTGAATCAGTATTGTGTTGATTTGTGTATATATTATGAAGCATGAACAGGGTTCATTGCAGTATTGACCTCAGGAATTTGCATTGCCTAAAAATAAATGGCTAAGATCAACGTCTGATAAAGGAGATAAATCTTATTTGGAGAAATGACTATTATTTCTTGATGAAAGTATAGTAAGAAGTCAGATTTTGTCAAATAAAGAGACGGATCTAAATACAATTTATAAACAGTACACTGAAAACATGCTCGCACTAAAGGTGGCACCATCAACATATTAGATGACTTTTGTCGAGATGAGCTTTGTAATCTTTGATTGCCTAATATGTTTCTGTTTTAATTGTCTCCCTTTGGAAGGAAGAAAATTTTATAATTTTTTTTAGCTCACCTGAGCCGAAGGCTCAAGTGAGCTTTTCTGATCACTTTTTGTCCGGCGTCCGTCTGTCTGTCCGTCTGTCTGTCTGTAAACTTTTAACATTTTCGACTTCTTCTCAAGAACTTGCCACAAAGTATCCTTGGGTGAAGGGAATTCAAGTTTGTTCAAATGAAGGGCCACGCCCTCTTTCAAAGGGAGATAATAAAGAATTAGTGAAAAATGAATAGCATCTTTTAAAAATCTTCTTCTCAAGAACCACAGGGCCAGGAAAGATGAAACTCATGTGGAAGCATCCTCAGGTAGTGTAGATTCAAGTTTGTACAAATCATGACCCCCGGGGGTAGGGCGGGGCCACAATGGAGGATCAAAGTTTTACATAGAAATATATAGGAAAAATCTTTAAAATCTTCTTCTCAAGAACAGCAAAGCCATGATGAGTCATATTTATATGGAAGTATCCTCAGGTAGTGTAGATTCAAATTTGTTCAAATCATGACCCCTGGGGGTAGGGCGGGGCCACAATGGAGGATCAAAGTTTTACATAGAAATATATAGGAAAAATCTTTAAAAATCTTCTTCTCAAGAACAGCAAAGCCATGATGAGTCATATTTATATGGAAACATCCTCAGGTAGTGTAGATTCAAGTTTGTTCAAATCATGACCCCCGGGGATAGGGCGGGGCCACAATGGAGGATCAAAGTTTTACATAGAAATATATAGAAAAAATCTTTAAAAATCTTCTTCGGATCCCAGGAACAGCAAAGCCCTGATTGATCATATTTATATGGAAGCATCCTCATGATCAGGTAGTGTAGATTCTATTTTGCTCAAATCATGACCCCTGGGGGTAGGGTGGGGCCACAATGGAGGATCAAAGTCTTAAATAGAAATATATAGGAAAATTTCTTCTGAAGGAGAATTGCAAAGCCATGATTAGTCATTTTGATATGGAAACATCCTCAGGTAGTGTAGATTCAATTTGTTCAAATGATGACGACTGGGATAAGGAGGAGCCACAATGGGGGATCAAATTTTTACAAAGGAATATATGGAAAAATGTTAAAATCTCAAGTACAACAAAGCCATTTGTTATGTTGACATGTAAGCATCATCAGGTAGTTTAAAATACAACTCCCCCCCCCCCCCAACCCCTCCTCCCCCACCCCATCCCTAGTAATCTTTTCAATACTGAACCGATTTGTGCTTTTGCTTAGCCAATATGCTCAGGTGAGCGATGTGGCCCATGGGCCTCTTGTCTTTTTAGCTCTTGTGAGCCAAAGGCTCAAAGAGCTAATGATATGGCCATTTGTGCGGTGTACGTAAACTTTTTAGCTCACCTGAGCTGAAAGCTTAAGTGAGATTTTCTGATCACCATTTGTCCGTCATCTGTCCATCTGTCTGTCTGTCCGTCCGTCTGTAAACTTTTCATATTTTCATCTTCTTCTCAAGAACCACTGAGCCAAGTTTAAAGAAATTTAGTACACAGCATCCTTAGGTAAAGGGGAGTTTAAATTGTTAAAATGAAGGGCCAACCCCCTTTACAAGAGGAGATAATCAAGAGAAGACAAAAATAGGGTGGGGTCATTAAAAAATCTTCTCAAGAACCACAGGGCCAGAAAAGCTGAAACTTATATGGAAGCATCCTGGGGTAGTGCAGATTCTAAATTCTTCAAATCATGGCCCCCAGGGATAGGGCGGGGCCACAATAAAATCAAAGTTTTATATTGAAATATATAGGCAAAATCTTTAAAAATCTTCTTCTCAAGAACCACTGGGCCAGAAAAGCTGAAACTTATTTGGAAGCATCCTGGGGTAGTCCAGATTCTAAATTCTTCAAATCATGGCCCCCGGGTGTAGGGCGGGGCCACAATAGGGAATCAAAGTTTAAAATATATAGGCAAAATCTTCAAAAATCTTCTTCTCAAGAACCACTGGGCCAAAAAAACTGAAACATATGTGGAATCATCCTGGGGTAGTGTAGATTCTAATTTGTTCGAATCATGGCCCCCGGGGGTAGGGTGGGGCCGCAATAAGTATTACAAGGGAGGGAGGGTCTGGCGAAGAACAGCAGGGCCAAAGTAACTCAGGTTAGCGTTGTGGCCCATGGGCCTCTTGTCTTTGATATACATGTAGGTCGAACTTATTCCTGGACATCAAGCAGCCAAACTGTTGGCATGATTGTAATAAGCACTGAGTCCTCTACCAAAATTATGAAATTCATTGCCCAGGGTCAGGGGTTCTGAGGGGCTCTATTAATCATAGAGTGAAAATGCATGAATTCTTAAAAATTCTTCTGCTCTCCTCCTGTATAATTATATGTAGCAGACAATCTAAGTGCATGGTTATGATGAGCAAGAGTGCTTCTTCTAAAATTATGAAATACGTGTCCTTTATACTAGTAGTCAAGTAGACTTAAAAGAAATAGAAGAATAAATATTTATATAAGATTACCTTATTTATGTACACAAAATACCAAAGACCAAGAGAGTCCACTATGGTGTGGTAATTATGCTGGGTGTATTCTGTGAATATCGTTTGATGCCTAAGCACTAATGTAATGTAATTTTTGCTGATAGAACATTATTGCTAGAACTGCCATATACAGGATATTTTCTTAATTGTTGTTGTATATATATCATATATTAAAATTCTTGTATAATTCTTTTATTCAATTTACTTTTCAATTACAATATCTACTTTGATTAACCATCATGTGAACTCGTTATAATCATGCACTTACTTTGCTCAATACTTAAAAGCAGATAATTAGTATATGGGAGAAATAATGAATTTTCACTACATAATTTTAGCCTCATCCTTGCTTCAGATCTCCTGACCCCGAGGCCTCTATCACGTTTTCTTATTCTCGCCCAGACATCGCTTATATTTCAAGACAGTATCCATGTATTTTATATATATCACGTTAAGTACCAGAGCACATGTTTGTAGAATCAGAATCATTTATGATTTTTTAACAATTGTTGATAACCAAACACATCATATAAAAATTTGCGACTTCCATTTTTATTTAAAGAGAATTTGTCTATAATGTCGAAAGGAGTTTGTCTCATGCATTAGATAATTATAAAAGTAATCAGAAAGACCTACTGATAATCCATACTACATTTTTGTATTCATATGAAGCATAATTATTCATAAACTTCTACATGAAAAGAAGTCTCCTGCTGTGGCTTTTAATTCATCATTTAGATATGTTGACGACGTTTTATCAATGAACAATATTCATATTGCACTGAATTGTCTATTAATTTATTAATTATCCAATCAAGATCAGGAGCGCACAGCGGTCGTGGTCGGTAGGCGGGGAATGCTTTTTCCTAGTCGGCACTTGATTCTACCTCCGTTTTAGAGGTCTGTGTTGGGTTTGCTTATAATTTGTATTATTTAAATTGACTTTTGGGAATGATAACAGTTCGTTATATTCACATTTCATGCATAAAGTACATCTACACTTTAACCTTCTCCAAGTCTTAGTAATTAAAATTAGCTCAAACTATGACAAATTATTTAAATGAATGCCTGAAGGAATCTTTCATCAAAGATTTCAACCAATTACACCATTTCTTTTTTTAGATTCGCTTTCGCTTCGTCAACTTCGTTCTACAAATGAATATTATATGCACCTATCAAAACATTTCCAAAAAAAAAAAAAAAAAAAAAAAAAACGAAAACAAAAAAAACGAATTCCTCTAGAAGGCATCAAGGCATCTAGTTTAAATAAGAGTGAGTCATATAAACCTCTTATGGGAGTCTCGTCTTCTGATCTACCTATATATCTTTTGCTTATGTAAATTATAATTTTTAAATCATGTACAGTTGAAGTTCAGGTCTTTTGATATGATTATTATAATTTTACGAAAATATTCTTAAAAATACAACGATGATGAATAAAATTACAGAATTATTCATTCAACCTTTTCCTTTTTGAAAAAAAATGTATATTTTTGTTTACAGAATTAAAAAAAAATGAAATAATGACTAATCTATTTCAATAATTAAAGGAGCAAGGTTACATAATGTCGGTTTGTAAACCATATTTCAACTGACAAGGAAAATATCTATTCCGTGCAAAACGCATTCGTTGTAAATGTGCCTGTTCCTTTGATTTCTATTCATGACATTCTGGAGGGAATGTATAAGAAGTATAGTTTTCATTTGGATATACATCAGAGCTGTCGCTAGTGTAACATTGTTCTTGGCTTATGGTTTCCCTATTCTTGCCGTCCCCACGCTTGCTGACAGTGACTTCCTCAATGCTGCTGACAGTGAATCCCTCACACCTAGCATCAGACCAGCAAAGCTGTTTACAGTTGGTTGGTGAAAGATTTCCCCGGAAAATCCCAAAACTTTCATAACTCATGATCTGTGTTGTTAAACCTGAAATGTGAAAGTTTTACAATACCTAACTTGAAATCTCCCTGAAATCATGTTTATTTCCAGGATTTTGTCTAAAATGCTATCTGTATGAATATCAAGTACATGTCAAGTACATGTCATGTATCATAACTATCATAAATTCATATAAATTCCATAACATTTGATTAAAGACAGAGTGAATATGTAATTTGAACAATGGGTTTTGATTACATACTGTAACACATTGTCTTCTCTTTATTGTAACACATGCTGAATCCCGTGCAGTCTTTACATGTGGCTTGTCCGACCTCATCCTGGAACGTATCACCCGAACAAACCAAACAGGAGGTCTGTCCAGAACCATTCTGATAATGTCCAACACTGCAGTTAACACAAGAACTCTGTCCTACAGGGAAAACAGAATCATTAAAGATCGAAGTTATCACATTAAATCCACAGATCTGATTTTATAATAATGACTGTTTACCCACCTGAATATGACTGATAAGTCCCAGGTCCACAAGATTTACAAGAATCTGTAAATTGAATGTTCAATATGTTTATTCCAGGACGAAAACACATTTTAAAAGATATAGATATGCATGTATGCAATTTGACTATGCCAAACCTTTGATTACGCTATTGCATGCGATATAATAGAGGACAGACTGTGGAATTTATACTAATTTTGAAGTTTACTACGTACGTCAATTTAGAATAAAAAAAAGGTAATTAGACTGTTTTATTTTCTATTTTTCTTTTATTTATCTTTTTTTGTATCCATTATCGTTAACTCCATAATTTTTTTTCTACTTAAGTCAGAATATACGTGTATGTAAATGTCTCTGTAATTGATCATGAAAAACTGTATCTTTAAGAAAATGAAATTGCCTATTTAATTCAAATAGTTATGAAAAAACGTAATAATTCATATTGAATATACGATAGTGTCAGCAAAATATATGTAATTTTAAGATTTAACAACATTTACCATAAGTTTCCTTTTCAAGATAAGGCTGATAAGTGCCTTTTGGACAGGATACACAGTAGCTTGATCCGGGTTGATCCTGATACGTTCCGCTTGGACATAGAAAACATTGTAAATTGCCTGTTAGAGGACTGTACTGACCAACAGGACAGATTTCACACTGTAATAAAAGACAAGAAAACGAGTTGAAGTTGTTTACATTTCTTTCTTTTTTTGGTTTTATTTCATTTGGTTAAAAAAGTGATATAGAGTTATTTCCCACTGGTCAAGTTGACGAATGCCTTTAGGACAGGACAAGCAGATGACTTGATCCGAGGATTTAAAACACAGAGTTGAAATGGGTGAATTCAAAAAAAAAATGACCACCAAACTGATTTTTTTTGGAAAATTTCAACTACTTATAACATATTTTTCACTTATATCATCATATTGCACATGCATTCTAGTTTAAAATCCTGAAGTGGCAATATAATAGACAATTGGATAAAAAAGTTTCAGATTTTTTATTAGTAAAATTTCTTTTGAAAAAAGAAAATATCATTACACCTTAAAAGACTTTCTAATCACAAGAAATTATTGTTTTTTATGCTTCAAAATGGTAAAAGGGGTATAGATGATTAAATCTAGACCTAGATTGAGTATCTTCTCTTGTATATGTGACAAAAATTGGCTTTTTGATTGTTATTTTACATTATTTTTTTCAATTCTGGTTTGAAAAGTTTCAATACGAAAAAAAATATGAAGCAATAAAATTCTTCAAAAGTCACTTTTTTGTCCGTTCAAGTCAATTCTTTAAATCTAAGCCAAACAAGAATTTTTATATACAAGTTCTCTTACAAAAAATACTAGATTTTGAAGTGACCCTATGTTACATTATTGTGTTGCACTCCTGACATCTGATACGTATTTTATTTAACATTGTTTTAAAAATTCTAACACACAATAACCCATTCTTACTTTGTAAATCAATTTGTCGTTTTGATATTTTTCATCTTTTACGGCAGGTTTTTCATATTTTGAAGATCTTAAAACATGATTATTTGCAAAGTGTAATATATATAAATTGTATTTAAAACTATATGTGAAATGATGAAAACTTCTCCCTGAAATGACTGTAAAATTTCTGTAATTTGTTGATAGACATAGTGCTTTGAACATCAAATAGTATCAAACATTTTTTTTCAACTAATCTTTTAGTAAAGATAGTTAAAAAGCATTGGTAATTATAAAGCAGTTTTGTTGCACTCCTTACTGCAGTAAAATTTAAAATTAAAACCATATAATACAAAAATTCATAAAGTGTTGGCAACATCAAGTGGTAATGAAATTGTGCAATATTTATAACCCAATACTTCAGTATTAAAACAGATGAAAGTATTTAAAATTCACATTTTATCTGAAATTATTCCCTATTTATGCCAAAAACTAGCTTAAATGTATATTTAGAAGATAAAATATATTTTATAGCATATTTTCCTTTAGAGGACAAACACAGTAACCCACTAGAAAAATTCTATTCATCATTTTTTCTTTATTTTTATTCTTACTGGATGATTTATAATTCAAACATATTTGTTGCACTCCTGACCAAAAGCATTGGGGCCTTCAAAGTAGAATTGTGAAGTGAAAATTACATAAGAACTTGTTCTGTTGTTTCAATGAAGTTGAGGAGGAATTACTTGAATTTTATGACAATTTTTTAGTGTGTTTATTTTTAACGTTCACTAAAAAATCACAAAAAAGATAAAAACACATCTGAATTGATAAAATTGAAAAAGGAAGGATTTTAATAATAAAACTGTCAATAATTTAGTATTAAATTATACAAAAAGATCATTATTAATTAATGAATACTTCTAAGCGTGAATAGAAGTGTTTTCGACACATAATTTGAATCTTTAAAAAAATGTGTTGCACTCCTGACCATAGAAATATAGATCTGAAGCACAGCCAGATCCTGTAATTGATAAATCTATTTGGTAAAAATGTTCTTTGTGTCTTTATTTTCAAAATAAAAATCAGAAAATCATATAATGATAATAGTTTTTTCATGCTTGGGAGCAAAAGATCAAATGTTGCACTCCTGACATTATTGGGTATGCACATATACTTGACTCTCATTAATGCTGCTTGTGATTTATATAAAAAATTTTAAGTTTTAAAATGTATATCAGTTATTGTTTTACACTTCAAAAATTCTTTTTTGTCATAATTTTCTTTCAGAAATTTACAATTGATGTTTTTTTCTGTTGCACTCCTGACATGGTATAACATTTTTTTAAACATCAGCCATGACCACAACTTGATTAAACAAAAGTTACTACAGTCCAAATTCAAAGCTCAATACTTTGAATATTATCAGGAAAGTCTTTATTTTCAACATAAAACATTATTATTTATTTCACAGATCTCCAAAAAATATTGAAATATTGAAATATCAAAATGTCACAAAAAGGTGTTGCACTCCTGACAATTTTAGCATCATTTTTGGGCATAACTTTTTTGTTAATTGAGATATCAACGAGATATTTGGCAGGTAGTTAGACACTACCAAAAGACATATGCTGAGACATAGAAATCTATTTTCATTGCCTGTATTTTTAGTGTGGGTTGATAAATATGCATTTGGTCATTTTTTTTGAATTCACCCAAATTGCATATGACGTCGCGCACGATGTTGGTGTCAAAAAGTCAAAATTTCCATTGCGACAGCATTTGCGCTATTTTTATAATTTTGAAACAGTTAACTGTATGAAAACTATATATCATTCGGTCGGTAATTGTATACTTGATACGTTTTAATATATATATTGGTCAAAAAATTCCATTTATCAAATATATGTATTCGACTATTCGTTCAATTACGTCCAAAACGCATGTAGACAGGTAACGGGAGCGTCGCACATGCAATAACAAAATGTTGATAACTTCCATAAAACAAACAATACAAACATAAAATTTTGCATAAAAATTCAAAATATTATGTAAATGATGTAAATTCTTACAATTGTGATGTCATTTAATCCGTATGCTGTGAACGCGTCCCTCAAAATGTAAGACAGAGATGTAGATCAGCGTTAACCGAAGAAATATGGAATGAACATGAAATGCTTTTGGGTTCTTAGAAAAATATTAAGTAAGCTAAATAAATTTCGAAATAACATCTCAATAATCCTTTTGGTGTGTAAAGAACTATTTTTAAGAATAGAATGATATTGTGTGTTCATATGTATGTTGGGTACCTGATATTTAGAAGATTCATCGGGAGGATATTGAATAAGATAGTGTGTCACAAAGTTTGTACGTTCAGTGTCACAAAGTTTTTTAGATCCGTAGAATGGCTAATTGAATAATGAATATAACTTAATTATTTATTTTATTTGTTATTTATATCTTCCTTTTTTATTTGAAAAATGACATACCGTTATTGTACCTTCGTCAGGCTGATAAGTGCCTTTTGGACAGGGCACACAGAAGCTAGATCCGGGTTGATCCTGATACGTTCCATTAGGACATTCAAGACATCCCTAACAAAAAATACTATAGTTAATTATAGTTTACTATAGTTAATTATAGTTTACTCTAGTATCAAAGGTTTTTTTTACTATAGTAAATCAAAGTATTTTTACTATGAATTTCAGATTGGTATATTTCTTTGTTCTTCAATTCATACATGCACATTTTTTTTTACATGAAATTGAACACTATTTTTTGTATATTCACATATTATTTCCAAATTTTGCACCACTGTTATTGAATTTAAGAGATTTTTAGCTTTGACATCTAAAAAAAAATCCATAATTGTAAATTTCCATAGTAAATCAAAGTCAAAGTTTGTCCTATAGTTAACTATAGTGAACTTTTGTCAGGGAGCGCGGACTATTGGCCAGAGCACTGAACTGACCAACAGGACATAGTTCACACTGTAATAAGAAATAGTTAATGGGATTATTGAGTAGAAATTACATATCTCTCTTTCTTTTCTGAAAAATGACATACAGATTTTGCCCCTTCTCTAAGATGAACTTATCAAAGCGACGAAGGATAGGACATACTTAGAAAGAGTCAGTTAACAATATTTAGTTGACATTACATAATTTTCTTCCTTCCTTTATAATTATATTTTCTTGGGAAAGTGACATAGAGTTATTTCCCCCCTTCGTCGCATTGATAAGTTCATTTATTCAGGTATGGTTTTGAACTGTTTATCACCATTGTGTTCCTTTATTATACTATTTTTATTGCTTACATTTCTTGTTTAATTTGGTTTAAAATGTGACAAAGATTTATTTCCCTTTGGTAAAGTTGATGAATGTCTTAGGGAGGGTACAATCAGATGACTTGATTCGAGGATTTAAAACTCAGAGTTAAAATTACTTTCATTGTTTTATTATTTATTTTTTTTTATTTATTACTTTCCTTTTTATTTGAAAAATGACATACAGTTATTTTTCCTTCGTCAGGCTGATATGTTCCTGCTGGACAGGGCACACAGAAGCTAGATCCGGGTTGATCCTGATACGTTCCGTTAGGACATTGAAGACATTGCGAACTGTCGGCCAGAGCACTGAACTGACCAACAGGACATATCTCACACTGTAATAGAAATAATCAATGGAATTATTGAGTTTAAATTGCATATCTTGTTTTCTTTTTTTTTTTTTCTGAAAAATGACATACAGATATTTCCCCTTCTTTAGGTTGATAGGTGCCTTTTGGACAAGACACACACTGGCTTGAGCCGGTTTGATTCTGATATTTTCCTATAGGACATTCAAAACACTGTGAATTGCCTTTCAGATCATTATATTGACCAACAGGACATACTTCGCACTGCAATTAGAAAAGTCAGTAAACATTATTTAGTTAACCTTACATAATTTTCTTCCTTCCTTTATAGTCACACCTTTTGGGACAGTGACATACAGTTATTTCCCCCCGTCGTTGCGTTGAAAAGTTCATTTATTCAGACATGGGGCTAAATTGTTTATCACCATTGTGTTCTTTTATCATATTATTATTATTGCTTATATTTCCTGTTTTATTTGGTTTAAAATGTGACATACAGTTATTTCCCTTTGATTAAGTTGATTAATGCCTTAGGCAGAGGACAAGGAGATGACTTGATCCGAGGATTTCAAAAACAGAGTTTAAATTGCTTACTTGCTTTATCATTTATTTTATTGTTATTTATATCTTCCTTTTTTATTTGAAATATGACATACAGTTATTTTCCCTTCGTTAGGCTGATATGTTCCTGCTGGACAGGGTACACAGTAGCTAGATCCGGGTTGATCCTGATACGTTCCGTTAGGACATTGAAGACATTGCGAACTGTTGGCCAGAGCACTAAACTGACCAACAGGACATATCTCACACTGTAATAGAAATAATCAATGATATTATTGAGTTTAAATTGCATATCTGTTTTTCTTTCTTTTCTGAAAAATGACATACAGATATTTCCCCTTCTTTAGGTTGATAGGTGCCTTTTGGACAAGACACACAATGGCTTGAGCCGGTTTGATTCTGATATTTTCCTATAGGACATTCAAAACACTGTGAATTGCCTTTCAGATCATTATATTGACCAACAGGACATACTTCGCACTGCAGTTAGAAACAATCAATAAAAGTATTGAATTAAAATTACATAGTTTCTTCCTTCCTTTATAATCATTGCAATTCTTTTTTGAAACAGTTATTTCCCCCTTCGTCGGGTTGATAAGTGCATCTATTCGAACATGGTGTTAAAAATTGTTTTTCAGCCTTGTGTTCTTGTATTAAATGACTTACAGTTATTCCCCCTTGGTTAGGTTGATGAGTGCCCTTAGGACAGTACTTGCAAGATGTTGATCCTGGCTGATCCTGATAACTTCCCTGCTGACAAAACACACACCACGTCATACCACTTCCTGAATTATACTGACCAATGGGACATGGGACACATTGGCCGTTGTTTTCGTAACGTCCCGCTGCACAAACTTTTCAAAGGCTAATACTTTCATTATAAATAATATAAAAATCTAATAATTATACATATTACTATGAGTAGAATTAGATGTGATTCACGTTTAATCAGCGCACAACTTTATTTTGAAAAAATCATTTTACCTGATTATAGATTTCACATAGAAATATTGACTAAGTGGAAATTATCTGTATTTATCTTACTTAGACTTATTCTTAAATCTACTGAGTAATATTGACATGATGAACATTTTCGATGTAAAATGAAGGAGAATTCTTAATTTTAATCCAAATTACCTCTCAAATAGATGCATTTTACTTGTTTTATATATATTATTGTAATAGCTTAAAATGCATTGTTAAATAGTTTAAAGATATTATATCATTTTTGCTTTGATTAACGCATAACTCCATTTTGTGACGTTTCGGTCGTTCACAATTGAATCCACCTGATGCATCAAACAATATAACCAATCTTGGAGTACATTGTTTACCATGCACCTACATGTACAGCTTCATGAAATATGGAGATAACGAACACTATTCAAGCTCATAGTCCATTTAAACAATACAAATCGGGAGCGGAGCAACACGGGGCTCCAAAAACGTCAGAGGTGGGATCAGGTGCAATAGAGGAGTAAGCATCTCCTGTCGACCAGTAACACTCGCTATGTGCTCTTTGTCATGATCGGGTAAACGAAAAAATTCGTAGGAATTTCAGGGTGTAAATAATGGCCTAACAATTGATATGAGAAACGTTAGTCAGTATTTGACCTAATGATAGATTGGATTTGCTGGGAAAGTCATTGTATCGATCATGGAACTTGCCAAATGATGACTTCAGACGAGACTGTTGATATCCTTGTTTCATCAACTCGTTTTAAAAATTGATCTCACGTACAGCGTGCTCTTGCATAAATTTATTATAAAATATTATTACCGAGGATTTTTTTTAAAAATGAATTTGCTTTGAGATTCAAACCCTTCTACAGAAACACTGTGTATAAATTTACGTTTTATATTTATATATTACGTTCATATATTTTGTGCAAAAGATTAAAATACAATGATCAAATTGAACAGAATTTGATGCTGTCCTTTGAATTAGCGTTTGAAGCACAATGAGTTGTAATATGGATGTGAGTGTTAGAAGAAGAGGAAGTTTATGAAATGGAAGAGTTTGAGAAGGCAGATTGAAATGAAGCGTGAGAGGAGCTAGATTGAGAGGTAGACCAGAATGAGATGAAGTGTGAGGAAAGGAAATAGACACAGGTGAAGTGATGACAGAAAAAAATACAGAAAAAAGAGTATGTAGAAAGATAGACTGAGATTAACTGTATGATGAGGGTAGCTGAATTGAAAAAAAGAATAAAAACTAAATCGTATTTTACCTTCATGTTTAAGGAAAAGTATAATTGTTTATTGACACTTCATACAACCATTCCTTAAGATAAACTAAAGTCCAGGCTTTTGGACATCATAGACAGCTACTTTTTCAATAAAAATTGAACTCTTAAATTTACTTACCTTTTCATTGGTCATTTGCAAAATTATTTTGTTAAAAAAGCATTCTGATTGTACACACAAGTACTCTAAAGTTGATATTAAAACGATGATTGAGTTTCTGATTGACAATATCTATGTAGTTTTTGGAGATCAGGTCTTTCAAGAATCTATTGTAATTTCCATGGTTACCAACTGCCCCTCCTTGTAAGCAGACCTATTTTTGTATTCACTAGATGAAATCCTGCGCAAGCGGGGGGAATTGAATTTTTACCAATACTCACTGATCATTTCCAATCATATATCTTATAGTTTCTACTGACAATTAATGATTGGCTTATTAGCAGGAAAAATACTTACAAAATCCCGCAGGTAGGTTAGGATCTAACGTAGATAAGATTCACCCTCACCCCCTTCTTTCCTTTTTTTTTGACTTGGAAAATATCAATTTCATTGATACATTGCATGTTTTCTTTACATGTAATTTAAGCAACTTTATTTTGATAACTGCTGTACAATGTTATTACATGTTATACTTCGGAAACTCTGTTTCCATTTCCTTCAAGGATAAAATAAGTGAATGCACATTTTACTGATTTTTGGTAAAAAAAAAATAGCTTTTTCATCCTTGTATTAAATATTACGAAAGACTATGTAGAAACTCCCCTGAAAGGTATTGCTTAAAGCAAAATTTTTAAAAAGTTTTAGGAAACATATAGAAACTTAGAATATACCACTTTTACATTATATATTTGAAAAATAACTTATTCATTTATTGACATTTCTCTTTAGCAAGTCCATATTCAAACTGTACTTCGGGTTCGTTGCCATTATGCTGTCCGTGGCGAGTATGCACATTTTACTGATAAATTGTTAAGCACAACTTACTAAGAGCTTTTGATTTATAAATATATTCATAACTCATAGTATTATCAATTTCCATACCCATTCACTTAACACATTAAAGTTTTTAATATTCATGTAGTGATTATCCTTTATTTTTATTATTAACATCAGATCGGACATAAACGAAAAGGATTTGCATATATATTTTTTTTAATCAGTAATCAACATTTATTTATATCACTTTAATCCATTTTTTATTGAATAATTCATCAACAACGTTTTATCAAATAATTAAACGATTGCTTGTTGTCAGTTTTCTTTTTAATTCAAAATTGTCACTAACTTAGATCCGCCAAACGGAACCACCATCGCACTCTCTTTTTTGCTGTTTCACGACTGTTTATCGAAAACGAAAGTAGACTTTTAATTTAAATTTACGAAAATTACTAATCAAGTGAAATCTATAAATAAAGTTTACGGACATTATCTCATGCCTAATATAATATTAGAGGAGTAGGTATGAACTCTGGTGCTGACGTTTCGGAGTTTATTTGCAAAATTTATTAATTTAAAAGTATAGATATAAAGCAAAATCTCATACACGAGAAGAAGAAAACACTTGCTGTGGCCCTCAACTCGATATTTAGATATATCGACGACGTATTATAAATTAACAATAGTTACTTCCATTCATAGGTCGACTCGATAGATCCCTGTGAGCTTGGAATAAAAGATACCACAAAGTCTGACACATCTGTTTCATATTTGGATATTTTAGTAGAAAAAGACTTTAAGGGTAACCTAACAATAAAGCTTTATGACAAATGTGATGACTTCAATTTTTCAATCGTCAACTTCCCTTACATATGTAGAAATATAACCTTATCGCCCGCATATGGTGTTTTTGTCTCCCAGTTGATACGATACGCAAGAACATGCTCTACGTATGAACAATTTCTAAAACGAGGCAAGGTCGGAAGGGTGTGCTTACTCCTCCATGGCACCTGATCCCATCTCTGATGTTTTTGGAGGTCCGTGTTTGCTCTGCTTCCAAGTTGTATTGTCTTAACGGACTTTGAGCTTGAATACTAATCGTTATTTCCATATTTTCGCCTCGTGATCGGGAGGTCGTGAGTTCGAATCTCGGCCGCGACTGACCTAAGTCGATAAAAAATGGGTAGCAACTGTTCCTTCGCCATGCTCTCGGCACTTTGAAGTGAAAGTTGCGGGTCCTTCGGATGAGACCTTAAAAACCGAGGCCCCGTGTCATGGCAGGCGTTGGCACGATAAAGATCCCTCACTGCTCAATGGCGCTGAGTGCCGAGTAAAGGTCAACATTTGAAGCCCTTCACCGGTATATGGTGACGTCTCTATATGAGTGAAAAATACTTGAGTGGGACGTTAAACAACATACATACAATCAATCAATCAATCTCCATAATTTCATCTTTACAGTGCAATTTCCTTTAGTAGCCATAAGTTTAACATCTGAATGTTACACCTCCAGATTATTTCCTATAAGGTACTTCCACCCCCAAAATTTTATGGGTTTAAAGAACTAAAACCGCATTTACTTTCCCTGAATATAGTTTAAATTAATTATAACACAGAAAATGCACAGGTTGATATGTTTGTTGAAGATGTCAGACATGAATAATCAGAAGTATATGTCAGCATAAAAAATCTACATTTATTGTAAACAGTATTATTAAAGTTATGTAAAAACTGGCTCAAATACACAATTCTGACACAGGAAGTTCTTAAATAATTACTTCTTTAAAAACGAGATATTTTGATAACATAGAAAACTGCTTCTTCAATAGAAATGGAACTCGGAACTTTTCATATCTTGTGATTTGTGATTTGATTTGTGATTTTGTCAAAATGACTTTGTTAAGATCACTCTGAATCTACACACAAGTACTTTGAAGTTGATATAAAAAGAATGTCGGAGTTCCTCATTGACAATAGTTATGTAGTCTTTGGAGACCAGGTCTTCCAACAAACTGTTGGAATTTCGATGGACACTAATTGTGCTCCTTAATTCTCGACATTCAGATATACTTGCGATGTTTTATCAATTAATAATAAGGATTTTCATTTATATTTCGACTCGATATATCCCACTGAACTCGAAATAAAAGACACCACAGAGTCTGCCACATCTGTTTCATATTTCGATATTTTTACCGGCTATAGACAATAAGGGCCGACTAACAACTAAACTGTATGTCAAACGAAATGACTTCAGCTTTTCCATCGTCAACTTTTCTTATATTCATGAAGCAATATTCCGCTATCACCTGCACATAGGGTTTATGACTCCCAACTTATTTGATACTCAAAAACATGCTCTGAATATGATAAATGTATAAACCGAGGCAGGCTACTGACAGATAAGTTGATGTTACAGGGATCTTGTTTATTGTCAGCATTTAGTAAATTCTATTGTCATTATACTGACCTTGTTAGCAGATATAACCTATAATTGGATCGAGTTTTGGCTGACGTTTTTAATACCAATCGTTGAGCTTTTGTTTTTATACTTAACTTGACTACGGAATATTCCGTCTCCCTAATCAATATTT